AATCGCACGTATTTATGAACTATAAATAATTATTAAACATATTCAAATCATAATTTTAAAAAATTTTAACAGCTATTCACAATTTATTAAACTATTTACTCGAAATTGTTATTAACATCTATAAAATAATTTTGTACGCCAATGTATCGCGTCCACTTCGATTAGATCCACCGCAAACCTGTCAATTTATGTGTATAAAATGGGAGAACTGGCAAAAGCCTTTCCAACTTCTACGTGCTATACCTACACAACTGACACTGGCTCATATTGTCGATTGTCGCCGTGCACACATAACAATAAATTCAAGGCATAATAATAATAATATGTTAGGTAGCCTTTAAATTGATTGAATTGTTTAAGGAAATAGAAGAAATAGGTAAATTTTCTTGTTTTTTTTTTTTATTTTAGTTTATATCTTTTTTGTTGGGTTATTTTATTTATTAAAAACCTTTGTTATTTGTATTGCTCTTTTATTTTTCATTTTCTTTGTTTTTCAACAAATAAACATTCTAAATTTTTTCAAAATTTTGTCCCTTCCTGTAGAATTGTGTAACGACACCCATGTCTTTATCAACGATAACTCATTAACGGATACAAAGAAGAACACCAAATTTTAAACTTAAGCTTTATTCTGGCCTACGGTGAACTGATTAGATTTTGGGCAGAGTCAGAACATCTGGAAGCGTACTTTATAGAAGGTCATTTTTATATTTTATGGAATATATGTGTTATTTATGTTTGGAGAAGAAAATTGTTCAAATAAAAGTTATTTCTTATATTATTCTCTATAATTTTTGTTCTTTACAAAAATTTTTAAAAATGGTCCGTATTCGAGAAATTTTACAAAATTACAAAATTCTGATTTTTAAGAACATTGTTAACCTAAAAGATGTTTGCGATATTGATCTCTATAATTTTTGTTTTTACATGATTTCTCTAAAATGAACCGTAATGGAAAAATTGGAGGAAAAGTATAACATTTTAATTTTTCAGTATTTTCGTTGGCAATAAATGTATATAAAAAAATATTTAGAGTTAGTTGTATGTGGAAATGTATACAGGGTGTCCCGAAATTAGACGGTCATATTTTAACAGCGTAAGCTAGATCCTAAAATAGGAGTAAAAGTTCATGTAAACATAGGTCCGAAAACGTTTCATTTTCGAGATACAGGGTGTTACAAGTGAAGTTCTAATAGCACATTTTTGTAAATATTTTCTAAAATTTCTTTAGCCTCTGGTTTTCCAAGATAAAGAAAAGTAAAATTTCTGATTCCACAAGCCTACTAATTATTGTTTACACTTTCGAATAAGATAACATTACTTATCATGACATTTTCAAATGCTCTTTTCCTGAAAATGGCGTGTCCTAGCGAGATTCAACAAAAGTTGCTTTATTATAAAGAAAACATTGGTTTTCCAAATTTTATAGTCGAAAATGTTAAAAACTGTCAAACAAAACTTAGGGCAATTTTACCCTAGAGCGTAAAAAGGTAAGCATTTGTACCAAATTTCACTTAGTTATCTTTAAACGTTTAGAAAATATTTACAAAAGTGTGTCATCAGGACTTCACTTTTAACACCTTGTATCTCGGAAAAGAAATGTTTACGGACCTATGTTTATACCGGGTGTTCAAATTAAAGTGTTACAGCTATATACCGCCTTTTATAAAAAAAAAAACGTTTGACGAAAGTTTTATAGTTTTGTAGGGAAAAATTTTTGGCTAAAATCGTTTTTTATAGCTAATCATGATATGGTCAACTTTTTTTTCGCCTAGCAAAATTTTCAAGTAGCTGTTACTCAAAAAGTAAAAGTCCAATAAAAAAAATATTTTTATCAAAATTTCTTATTTTTTATGTACTTTAAGAATATGTAAAAAAAATGGGATTCCCATTTAAAAAAACAAAGTAAACCTCGATATGGCCATATTATAGTCAGCTATAAAAAAATTAATTTGGCCAAAATGTTTCCCCCAAAAAACTATAAAACTTTTTTTTCTAAAATGTATATTTTCGGCGGTATTTAACTGTAACACTTTAATTTTAACACCCAGTATAAACTTTTACTCCTATTTTAGGATGTAGATTATGCTGTTAAAATATGACCGTCTAATTAATAACTAGATAGGAAAGTCATAATGTATTGGACACATAAGATTTTTCTTCAGATTTTTTAAAAATGAATATGATGTATTCGAAGTATCACTCGAAGTACTCGAAATATCAAAAACGTTTCAAAGTAATACAACCGCGCATGCTCACGATTTGACACGTGATTATTATACTCTTCACACAGTAGTCTGTGTCTGCACTTTTCCTTAAATATCTCGAATACAGTCCATTTTAGGGAAATTATGTACATGACAAAAATAGAGAAATTTAGAAAATGACATCACAAGCGACTTTTATCTGAAGAATTTTCTTCTCCAAGCGTAAAAAAAATGTATTCCATAAAGCAAAGAAAAACGATCCTCTATAAAGTACCTCTCCAGATATTCCGACTATGCTCAAAATCTAATCAGCTCACCGCAGGGGACCCCAAAACGTCAAAATCCGTCGAAAATTCTAGGTCTATACTTTCTTTATATGTATACCTATAGACGGAATAGTAAAGACCATATGCGCCATGGATTACTGAAAACATAAAATTAATGCAAAAACTGAAGCAAAGGATTAAGAAAATTTAAAACTAAATGTATATTCAGTCTAATTGGCTTATTGTATATACAACTTAGAAACTAATGGAATAAAAATTAAAAAAGGGCATAACTCTGAAACAAGTGTGTAAATGGAAATACTAAAGTGGGCTATGAAAACGCATCGAAATTTTTAATCCTATTTATTTTAGAAGCAATCAATAAAGGTCTTTAGTTTGTTCAAGAACATCTTGATATACCCACTTAATTATGCATTTAAAAGCAAATTGGCACAGAACACTTATAAGTATAAAAGTAAAATCCACAAAACTGCCAAACACTCGATACATCCTTTTGACTTTGCCATTTGCTACTGTCGTTGTATACACAAGACACAATTTGATAACGTCGGCATTTGATGCTATGTGCATCCGCTCCTGAAAGAACCAATGAAGTGGAGTGGGGTAGAAAGAAAATGTGCATATTAGGTTTGTTCTGGTTCTCAAAATGAAAACTGTTTTGAAACTGCGCCGGACCGTATGCGTAAAGGCAAAAAATCCCCGACTGTTTGAAATTCTTGGAAAACCAGAACACGTCATGAAGGTGTTTTGTTTATTGTTTATTATAATAATGAAGTTCCTTTTGAAAGCTCAGCTTCAAATAACATTTGCATGTATATGTTTATCATTATCATCACATTTCAATGGAATAAATAAAAACAGAATATTAAAAAATTAATAATTCTAAAATTGCTTTAATTTACAAATAAAACAAGAACAAGAGACATTCGTCCACATATAAATAAACAATTTGGGATTGTATACGTTTCGTATGGTCTAAAAAGCCAATACAATATTCATAACACTTCAAAAACGCATGCGCGGTCAAAACAGTCCGAGTCGATCCACACTCTCAAGCATGAACACTTTTTGACTGTTTACAACAATCACGGATTATTTCGTATACGAAACCAGAACACTGGACTGAGAGATCCGAAGTAGTCCCAGAAAAACCAGAACACTTTTTATCTACTGCGCATGAGCCCGACAGTTGTGGATCGTTATTTCTCAAAACCAGAACAGACCTATTGTATCAATAGAACAAGATGCGACTGAGATAAAAAATAACCTGTCTTCGCTCATAGAGTCGCATCTCAAGCCTATTGACAAACATTCTACCCCATCCCAGTTCATTGGAAAGAACCTACCTCTAATTTGAGAATTCTAATCGGTATGCAACACTTTATCCACTTGACTTTAGAGGCCATTGCCAATAAAGTACTTTATGAAGAAGTTATATACAAAAGTTTAACTTTTTGACCATGTTTTCGGTCCGAAAAATGACGTTTTTTGACACATTCGAATAAAAAATTATTGATTACTATCTGTGACAAATGGGTTATCCAATGCCATCCTTCTTCCTTTCACAGACATACATCGTTTAAAAGGTAGGTAAACATAATAATTCGATAAACAAAGTATCGCTTTCTTGTCACATGGATTTTTTTATATAATAAATTATTTTTTTCGCCTACCATATGTGAAAAATGAATCATATCCACCCTAAAAATATGAACGAAAGTAGCGCATATCGTCCCATGGGCTGCTAAACTCCTAACAGCCCGATTTTGTAGTTTTTCACGATATCTAGATACCTTTGACTGTCACTTGCGTACTTTGACGTTTCACATAAATTTTGATTAAACGTCAGTGTAAGTCTATAAAGGTACATTTACATTTGACATTTATTGCATGAGATTTATGTCTGACAGTTGTTTAGTCCAGTGTAAACACTCAAAAATATATCTCCGAGAGAAATGTTTGTGTGTTTGCACTGGACTATTAAACAACTGTCAGACATAAATATCATGCAATAAATGTCAGATGTAAACGTACCTTTAGTGACCAAGGGATAATTAATATTAATTACTACAATAAATAAATTCGTACATTTTACTGCTTAAGTTTCTTGTATTTGTAAAATTAAAGATTTTTGTTATATTTTCCTTTTCTTTGTTTTTTTTTTTTTTTCGGTAGGCGAAATGCAATTGTGTGTCACACATGCAGAAAACGCTTTAGCAGCCCTTGCCGTGGGCTGCTAGAGCTCATTTTCTGCCCTTGTGACACAATATACTATAACCACTTTGCTCAGGATAGTGATTGGCACAGGTGCCGTTTAGTAAAGTACAATGATGTTACATGCTTTTGGAGCATATTATTTCATGTCGTTATCCGATGACGGCCGAAATTTTCAGTGGGCTCTTCTACTAGTATATAAATATATCTTTCTATTTTACTGCGAATAAACTTATTATTATTATTATTATTATTAATATTACCTTTGTTAAAAAATGATTATCATTTCCAGGTAACATCGGTTCGATGATATCGAACATGAACGTGGCTCGAGTGGACTTCCAAAATCGCATGGACGGCGTGAAGCAGTACATGGCCTTCCGGAAGGTCGGCAGAGAGCTGGAGGCCAGAGTGATAAGGTGGTTCGCGTATACGTGGGCGGAGAGCGGCGCTCTCGACGAGGAGCGAGTCCTCTCGGCCCTGCCGGACAAATTGAAAGCCGAAATTGCCATCAGGGTGCACCTGGATACGCTCAGGAAGGTCCGAATATTCCAGGATTGCGAACCGGGATTGTTGGAGGCGTTGGTGTTGAAATTGAGACTGCAGGTAAATGTATAATTAATAATACGTCTTTATTAAAACAAGTACATGACTAGGGAGGTGAAGGTTAGCTATACAGCTACTCTTAATGCTTAATTCGTGCAAAAAAGGCACATTTTTGTGATTTTTTTAACGACATAGTTTAATCAGTTTATTTAAAATAATGGTACATTAAAGTATAACATTCAAAGAATATTGTGTCAAATTTTCATGAAGAAATATTAAAAAATACGGAAATGGCAGCAATTATTCGGAATCGTCGCGGAAAAAAGTAGAATTGAGGTGCCCTCCTAACTTGGTGCTGGATCATCAGAAATAAAAAAAATTATTGTTCTTTCGTTAGATAATCGTTTTCCCCAGGTAACTTTGGGAGGGTTTTTCAAGATTTTAATTTTTTACTTTTTGGGAACACTTTGAAGTAAAAAACGCAATTCTTGCGAAAACATAGGCTAATTTGTTATTATAAAATAAAAAAATATTAACAAATTTGAAAACAACTTCCAGCGTCACCTCGTAAATTATGTACAGAAATAGTGTTTATAATTTCAAAAGGATAGGTGCATTAGTTTTGAAATTATGAGGGGCACCGACTTTGGAAACGTGAGTAGTGGGAAAAACGCTTTAAAGTTTTAAACACTAAAAAATTTGGATTAAAACGTTCATAAGCGAGTTTTATCGCCTTATCTCACCTGAGTCATCGATGCCAGGTCCATAAAGGATGTTGCTATCATCCACGATGTCTAAAGCATCTTTTTGCTCCTGTTTACGATGAATCCTCATTCATGATCGCTTGATCCACTACTGATTCCCATGTCTTTCATGAAGGTTAGTAAAGCAAAAGAATCTGCCAGGTCAATGCTACACTAATTTATATAAAGTACAGGTATAAACACGTTTGTACTTGTGTTGAAATGTCTGTAAAGAAAGGTAGGAGGTAAGGTTAGGGATTATATAGAGAGCGGAACAGTTTCCACGTAACAATAGCGCGCTCGGACCGGAAGAGGTGTTTTCTGATGAGTTGAGTCATGTATGAGGCGCGGTTACTCATAACAGTCATAACTCTGTATCTTCGTTAGTTTTGCTTTGATTCATCTCAAATTTTAAATTTTCACATTATATTCTTGAAAATATAAAAAAAATGCAAAAAAAATGCAAAAAAATGCAAAAAAAAGTTTAAAAACTTTACAACCCCCCCCCCCTTAGAGGCTGAAATAATAGTAGTAACATCACATATTTTTGTAAGTAACATACTATTAATGACTAAATGTCAAATGAATTTCATAAAGGGTGTTAAAAATTCACTTTTTAACAAGAAAAAGTAAATCAACCTGTATATAAGAGTTGCTTTGGTAACTGTCATAACGATATATTATTTTTTTGTGTAGTTGCCCTAAACTCACTACTCACTAGTTGTATCTTAAATTGTATGCTGGCCAGCGAATAAATTGATATACCACAACCAGTCACAGTTTCAATAAAATCACAATTGAAAAGAAACTTTAGAAATTTCCTTTTATTGTGATTCATGGTCCTTCGAGCCGGATCCATTAAGCAGGGTCCACTTAAAGAAGAAAGACTCCCACCCAGCAGATTTTCACACAGATTTCCACTAAATTAATATCCCCTAAAATAAGAAACAGATTCCCACTAGTCGCAGTTCTCTATAAAAATATCAAGCAATGTTCACCTAAAAAAGCCAATTTTCAATCGTATCCACATTTGAAAATCATAGATAGAGCTCAGATTACACGCACTATCAATTGGTATCATGAAAATAAAGATTCATTAATTAGTAAAAATCAAATATTGAATCAAAAATATTTATCAAAATCTAATGAAATTCCAGATCAAATTGAAATTAAGTATAGTGACAAAGATTTAGAAGATCGTGAATCTTTTGAAATTAACTGTTGACATTAAAAGTACATTGCAAGATTGCTTAGATTCAATTACTTTTCAAAGACTCTAAATTCATCTGTCAATAATAGAAATATTCGTTTACCAAATATAAATTTACCCATTTTTTCTGGAACTTGTATTGAATATCCCTTATTTATATATTTGTTTACAGCCTTAATAATTAATAATAATCAGCTAACTTTAAAATCAGAGAAGTTTTTTTATTTAAAGTCATATTTAAGAGGTGAAGCTTTGCAGTTAATTAACGCCTTGCAAGTGACAGATAATAATTTTGATATTGCTCTTAAATTATTAGAAAATAGATATTGTAATAAAAAACAAATTGTCTCATTGTTATCAGCGCTAACAACAAAAGGTGCTCACGTACTATTCGCAACTGCTCAAGTTTGCTTATATCCAAAAACTGGTCGTCATATAATTGCTAGAGTACTTCTTGATTCTGGTAGTCAATTGTCTTTTATCACCCTCTCTCTTGTTCAAAAAATAGGTGTTAAGCCATACATCACTGATCTCAAATCTCTGGGATTTGCAATAATGAAAGTAATGTGCAACAAATGACAGATATTGACATTTTCCCTCATTTTGATTCTTCCACCTCCTATAAAGTATCATCGTGTGCAGTAGTGGAAAATATTACTCAAAAGTTACCTCAGGTTTTTATTAATAGTCAAATGTTAAATACCGCCTCATTTTAAAGGCTATATCACAGATAAAACATTTAATCTACCCTCAGAGATTGATATACTTCTAGGAGCTGATGTATACTATGACTTGCTACAACCTGGTCTTTATTGTTTGGGCAAAGGGTGTCTTACACTAATTCAAACTCAACTAGGTTGGATACTATCTGGGGCAGTACCTCGAGAATATCTAATTTCGAAATCTCCCACTGTTCATTCATTCCATATTGCCAATTTCTCTGAAGAAAAAAATCTCGACACACTCTTGGGAAGATTTTTAGAACAAGAAAATGTTTGCGACAAAGAACAAGATAAACTTGCTGGAAGTATTTTTCACGACACTATCTTAATACTTCCTACTGGAAGGTTTCTGGTAGATTTACCCCTCGTACAATCTCAAGATTATAAGAAATTGGAGATTCGTTTGTTGCAGCAAAAAACCGTTTCCTCTCTTTAGAAGGAAAATTTGAAAATATTGCTTCTCTCAAAGAAGAATATAAAAAGATTCTAAATGAATATTTTGAATTAGGGAATGGAAAACTTGTTCCACTATTACTCACTAACTCTCTTTAAGAGGACAAATATTTTGTGCCTCATTTCTGTGTGGTTCAGGAACAAAGTCTTACTACAAAAATTAGAATTGTATTTGATTTATCTTGCAAATCCTCTAGTTCGCTTTCCCTTTATAATGTTTCATTAAAAGGACCTGATTTAACATTACATGCCTCTACATCAAGAAGCTCACTTCATGACGAAAGGTCCACCCCACGTAATGACAAACAAAAAAACAGTCACTCCAGACATGGTAAGACCCTATCCCTTGGCACCACCAAGAAAAAGTAGCAACAAAGGGAGAAAAAGAGGTCGATGCATGATAGGGACTGATACTCCTGAAAAAATACTTCTAGAAGAAAAAAAAAGAAAAAAACAGAAAAAATAACTGCAAGTCAAAAAGAAGGTGTTTCAAGACGAATTATCCGGTGAAGAAACAGTTGCGGTTGATTATAAGGATAATTCATCTGACGACAGTTTAATTTTTGACGAGGAAGAAGAGAAACCGGTTACGAAGTTAAATTTTTAAAGAGAAAATCTCTATCCAACCATTTTAAATTTACAGATGAAACTCCAGCAAATGTCTTTTTCAAAGATGTGGTACTTATTCTGCCAAAACCCATCAAAGATCAAAGGCCCAGATTTGATGGTGGAATGATCTACTTTAATGTAGATTTATCAGAATACAGTTTACAGTAGGTTTGTACAAATCTACAATTAATTTAATTATTTTGGGTAGAAGAATTTTTTTGTTACATAAGGGAACAGTTGGTTGTGAAGTTCATTATTTTAGTTATTGTTTTATACCAAAGGCTGTAGACTGAATAGAATAAGTTATTTCTTTATTAAATCTGATTTATAACATTGCTATTTTATTTTTAAATATATGTTCATTGTCTCCCTTCGCATGTCCATTCTATCCTAATATCGGGTACACATTGGACCAAATGCACCATTGTATAAATATCAATGCCAAAAAAATCCAATCTAGTAAACTTACAATTTACATTAGAAATGTTCCCTAATGCCTACGGTTCTGTATTAACTGTAACTCGTTGTTTGAACATCCAAAATAAGCTCTCCAAAAATTTTAACGTCAAAAGTGTCCATTGTCTCCTCAGTCTCCCCCATCATATGTCATAGATTCAAAGCTATAACTGCCCAACAACTTATGGCTGACCTTCCCAAGACTCGTGTATCCCCTTCTCGACCGTTCCAAACTGTCAGCATAGACTTCGGAGGACCTTTTATGATTAAATCATCTTATCTTAAGAAGGCCCCCATTACTAAGTGTTATACGAGTATAGCCCTTTTTGTGTGTTTTTCCTCCAAAGCTAACCATTTGCAACTGGTGGCAGACTTGACTGTCGAGACATTTATATCTGCCCTTAAACAGTTTACCTCACGAAGAGGACTTCCATCGGTTATATATAGCGATAACGCAACTAATTTCGTAGGTGCTAATACCTAGGGTTGTAACGGAACTTCGCCTCCGTTACTGCGGAAGTTCCGCAAGAAATCGTACCTTCGCCTCCGCTTCCGCCTCCGTCAAATATTTGCGGAGTTATAACGGAGATGTATTTACTTCAATCGGTACATGATGAACCGACCACAAGTTTCCAGATTTTACCAATACAAAGTGTACATTCCAATGTGGCTGACAAGCTGACAAATATCAATGACGGTGAAGAGGAAACCGAAAATAACAGCAGCAATAGAAACCTCATGATATGGAAATCACTAATTAGTGAATATAATAAAGAAAACCGACTCAATTTAGACAATGATCCTTTATTGTGGTGGAGAAATACTACTAAATATAAAGCTTTTTCTCCCATCGTTCGCACGTATTTA